CTAGACCTCCCCGCCCCTCCTCGCCCCTCCTGGGCAGCAGCTGCCGAGCCTGCAGCTTCGGGGACGGGGTGTGGGGGGTGAAGTGACTCGGGGAGCGGGACACCTCGGCGGTTCCACGAGCGCCCCGGCTGGGTGTTACTCCTTCCTGCCAGGCCCGCTCGCAGAGGATATATGTTTAGGAAACCCAGCCAGAAAGAAATCCAGTGAAAATGAGCTATGAAACTTGGACATCCTGGAGAAATAATATTTACAGAGGAAACTCTTGAGACGAACTCTCACCAGTGCGACAGCCCCGGTGCTGGGCCCCACGGCCCAGGGCCGAGTCCGGCCCAGCCGCTCTGGCTTGTGTTTACCTCGGTGAGGCCCTCCCGGGCCAAGATGGGAGGCCGCAGACAGCAAAGGGGACTCTACCTACACCCCCTCCCCCCAGAAGGACGAATGGAGACTGTGTAAGGCACAGAAGAGAACTAGGAAATGAAAAGCTCTCTAAAAAACTCTCCTTGCCGATAATGATGTGTCAGTGTAGGTTCATCAGCTGTGACAAATGTACCACTGTGACAGGGTGTTGATAGGGAGGGATTGCACATGTATGGCAGCAGGGAATATATGGGAAATCACTGCACCTTCCCTTCATTTTTGCTGTGAACCTTAAACTGCTCTAAAATATAAAGTCTATTTTAAAAAAATCTTCCTTGAGTACACACAAGGACCTGTCCTTTGGGATTTCCGCAGTTCCTATAACATATTTGAATAAATACCTACATAATGGGTGGGTAGTTGGAAAAATGTCCCAGGCAACTAACATCACTCCATTCTGTAGCTACAAATGGGATCCTGGATGACCACCCGCCATCTTGTATCTGACCTTGAACAGAAGAAGGTGCAAGAAAAGAGAATCTGGCTGGATTTGGATCCATCTTTCCCATCACTGGAGCCCAAGGTGTTGTATGAAAGAGAAGAAAAAACAGGATACTTGCAATACTCAGAGCTGGACTCTCGTCAAGATGTTACTCCTTCTTTCTTTCTTTTTTTCTTTTTTTTTTTTTTTTAGGTTTATTTATTTATTCATGAGAGACACAGAGAGAGAGAAGCAGGCTCCATGCAGGGAGCCCAATGCAGGACTCAATCCCAGGACTCCAGGATCATGCCCTGGGCCAAAGGCAGGCTCTAAAACTGTTGAGCCACCCAGGGATCCCTCAAGATGTTACTCCTAAGTATGATCTTGGGTAAAACAGGCTGTTGGCAAGCTTCAAGTCTTCTCACCTATAGGACAAAGCCTCTGTCACCTTCCCCCAGGGAATGCTGGGAAAAGCAGTGAAGTCACTGCAGCTCAGTAGAAATGACAGAAATGGTCCTGGGCCCTCTCCATGCACTAGATCATTTAATCCTCAAAACAAATGCATGAAGCAGATACTATCATCACACAGAAGCCAACAGAGCTGCATACCTTGCCCAGTGATCACACAGCTAATGCATAGCCAAGCCAGAATTTGAATTCATGCAGTTTGATTCTGGAACCCACACATATAATTTATACTGTTTATCCCATGATAGAATCTAGCACAATGCCTGCCACATTGAGGTGATCGATACACAGCCCCTTCCCTTGGTCTCTCTTAAACATGCAGGATTATGCTGAGAAACTGGCAGAAAAATATATGTAAAGCTTCTCTGAAAACCATCAAATCCAATGAAAATACAGAGCACTAAAAAAAGAAAAAAAAATTATTGAGATTTTATTCACATACCATAGAATTGACCCACTTATGGTGTACAAGTCAATGGTTTTTATATTCACAGAGTTGTGACTATCTCCACAATCAATTTAAGAACATTCATCAACTGCCAAAGAAACCCTGTACCTCTCAACCATAATTCCCCTTTGCTCTCCCCACCGTCCTTCTCAGCCCCTGGCTACCACAAATCCATGTCCTGCCTCTTTGGGTCTGTCCATTCTGGACATTTCATTTCAATAGAACCATAAAATATGTGGTCCTTTGTGACTGGTTTCTTTCACTCAACATGTTTTCAAGGCTCATCCATGCTGTAGCACATAATAGGACTCCATTCCTTTTTACAGCCAAACAAGATTCTGTTGTGCAGCATTGCTATGGAAGGTATTGACTTGCTTCATAGACTGTCAGAGCTGGGGAAAACAATAGAGACTGAATCCAAAGCCTTCCCATGTTACTGAGAAAGAGTCTATGGGCTCCAGGTTAAGGAGCCTCTCCGAGGTCACCCCACTGGCTGGTGGGAGATCCTGTAAAGCTCTCAACTTGGTCCCTCTTACTTCACCCCACAAAGCATTACCGGAAAGGTAATTCAAAGTGCACAGCTTACTGATGATGGACAGCAGAATCCTCTCTGCAAATGTTAGCCTAGCATCATCCATTCAACAAATATATCTTGGCTGAACTGGAGGGTTAAGCACTGTGTGAGGTGCTGTAGACCCATGGGCGACAGGACAGAGAAGGTCCCCGCTGTGTCTCCTAAGTGTACCTTCTCCCAAGGAGGCAGAAATCAACAAGCAAAAGCCAAAGTGACAAAAGCAACTGTGTGCCGAATAAACTGCCACAAAGGAAACCAAGGCCTGAGAAAGATGACGATATGCGATCTAAGGTGGCATTGGCAGGGGCATGGTGTGTATGGACAGCAGTAGGGGACTGGGGTGGGGAAGGCCTCTCTGAGGAGGGGGCATTTAGGCTGGCGCCTGGAGGAGGAGAAGGATGCCTTTGATCATATCAGGGGGAAGAATACACAGACAAAGTGTGAAGCGCGTGCAAGAATCCTGAGGTGGGAAAGAGCTAGACGTGTAGGGGATGTTAAATGGGTGGGGCAGGGTGCGTGATGAGCGAGCAAGTCGTGTGGTGTGAGGTTAGCGGGGAGGCCCAGATCATGAGGGAGGCCTCCTGGCTTGTTGTCTCATGACTCCCCTCTCGGACTAACCCAAGTCAAGAAGACCCGTGGGAAAGGAGGTCAGTGGCTTCTGCTTTCCTTCCTGTGAATTAGATAAACGCCAGTGACCACAGGGAGCTAGAGGAGACCTGAGTCTCTGTAGCAAACACTCCCAAGAATAAGAGACGTGCATCTTTGGTAAGGGTGAGTAACGATATATCACTCTTAGGATGAATCAGAAGATAAGGAAAACAGAGGGAAATAAGAAAATATGTCCATATTAATAAGGAAGCGGTTAAGATGATGGTATAGCCACGTAGGAGAACATGGTGCAGCTGACAGAAAGAATGAGGTTAACTCCTTCAGTACTGAACTGGCAAGATCTCCAGTTAGTTGTTAAGCAAGCAAACAAAACAAAACAAGGTACACAGTTGTGTGTGTATCATACCATTTATGTAAAAAAAAAAAAAAAGGCAGGAAGGATAAAATGGTTTTGCCCAGATGTGCATAAAGTCTCTCTAGAAGGAGATATGCAAAATATGTGTAGGAGGGGTTTATGTGCTCATCTCTGTCTCTCCTGATCCCTGGAGAATGTGCCCTGGGAGGAAGGACAGGGGTCTCATCTATCCTATTTACCACTGTACCCCTGTTATTACACATGGGCGGCTGGGAGACAGAGGCAACAGAAGAGAAACTCTTCACATCTCCTCTTCTATGGTTTCCGAGTTCAAAATCTGTGAATGTATTTCTTATTCAAAGAAATAAAACATGAAAACAAGGAAAAGGTGATGAGAGGTCTCCAGCTGCCAACCGAAGCCTGGCGTTCCTTCCAGCCCATGCTGTCCCTCGGCCTCTGACTAGGCTAACCCTTCAGGAGGTCAGCTCGTCCTCCCAGAGAATGGGGTGCTCGCTAGTCCTCACTTAGAGTTTCTACCCCTAGTAATAACAATGTCTGTGACAGTCTGGTGAGCAAAGAAATTGTCCAGAGAGTCCAGAGTTAAATTTTGCTTCTCAACTGTGAGCCATCAAAAGACCTCTCTCCAGAGCCACCAGGGGGAGAATGAACAAATGCAGAATCATTGAGTGGGTGTCGTAATCCAGCTAGTGGTCCAGCAGTGAGCAAGGCTCCTTAGGGGTATTAATCAGTGTAAAGGGGGAGTTCAACTCAGAGGAACTTAAATCCTTGCTCTCAATCTCAGAATTTCCCAACTTCAACACTACTGACCTTCTGAGCTGAATAGTTCCTTGTTGTGGGGGGCGCCCTGAGCACTGAAGAATGTGGCACCGCATCCCTGGCCTCTGCGTACCAAATGCCAGGACCACTACCCTCGCTGCAGCCAGCACAACCCAAAATGCCTCCAGACACGGTCCGATGTCTCCCAGTGAACGGAATCACCCCAGGGTGAGAACCAGTGTTCCCATCCCTGCATCTCCAGGCAACTGCTTTGTCTTCACAATTAGAAGCTGGGGTTCCCCACTGCCTCTATGCCAGCTGGGCTGCCGCGGAGGCTGGCAGCTGACCGAACTTCATTGTGGGAGAGTTCCCTGAGTTACAGAGGCACCAACCAACCCAACTTCCTGGGAACCTCTCTGTCTGGGAAAAAGAAAGCTATCAGATTTTTAAAAATAACCATCTGCCCCTCGAGAAGCTCCCACGCCTCACAGGCAGGGGCCCTGAATACTCCACCCCCACTTCCCCCCACCCCCAGCCCAAGCAGGTTGATAATTAAATCAAACACATCCAGGCTGGCCAGCTGCCCATGCTCCAGCCCCAAGGAAGGCAAATGTGGTGACCTCCATCGGCCAGGAGGGGAGAGAGACAGAGGAAGAGCACAAGGGGTCATCCTGCAACACGCAGAGGGATGGTGAGCACACCTACCAGCATCTCTCCTCCTCTCAGGAACCTAATTCCCAAAGGACAGCTTTCTTTGGAGGGCAAAGAAAAAGGAACTGTATTTCTATGTTTTGATTAATTTGAGGCTCATCCTTGAGGGCACGGACAAACGAATGAGCAGAATTTTCCATGCCTGACTGTCCTGGCCGCCAGGCCCTATCGACAAACGTTCAGTGTTTATTTACTTTTGCCCGTGTTATTTTTGTTTCAGTTCAGCTGCAGCTCAGCGCAGAAAGCGTGGGGGAGGTGTATATAAAGAGCACCGAGACTGGCCAGTACTTGGCCATGGACACCGATGGGCTTCTGTACGGCTCAGTAAGTATGAGGCCAACATGCTTCCAGACATGGCCAAAGTTTGAGGTTTCCAGAAATCGTGTTACGTTGAGTAATGCAAACTATAAAGCAACAATTAGTCTCTGTTTGTTATTTTTTCCAGCAGGATTCCCACCCTCCACCTTGCCTTATTTTAGGTTCAGGCATGAAAGAGTTTCTTGTGATAGTCTCTCAAAATACTCGAACATACTATCGCCTAGACACAGAGGAGACATTGATTGAGATTTTAGTAACTCATCAGTCAATCATTGCAGGATACCTATTCCCACTTCATTCATTCATTCCAAAAATATTTCTTTTGAAATGAAAAGAGCACCAACATGAGCACCATGAGCTCATGAGCACCATGAGCACCACCACATGACATTATTGTGTTCTCTATGCTTTTGGCAAAAATTATAGAGCCTAGGTCTACCATGTCCCATGTCATCCAATGACCATTATCATGGGCCTCCTGTGTCTAAGTACTGTAGGGAAGGTGAAGATGAACGAGCTACATCCCTGTCCTTGAGAAGCACAGTGTGAGTTTATTCAGTAGCTAAAAACCCTCCACATCTTCTGCTCCATCCCTCCCCTGGTTAATGCTTTACACAGGTTTGACTCAGCATATATTGATCTTCCTGAGAAAAGAGAGACCGACAATGTGATTTTGCCCCTCGTTGTATCTCTGGTAAAAGATTGAAATGGAAAGAGAACTAAAGCCAATGGACCCAAGTTCTGAAATTATTTCTGAATTTCAATGATCTTTTCTTTATATCCTATCAAAATGATCATTGAAGCTTGGCCAAATGCCTTTCTTTCCTTGTATGAAGATGTCTACAAAAAAGGCAGCCAGGAGGGGACTTTGGTCTCAAGCTCCCTTTGACTTACATCAAATTGCCAAGGGGCAATGAGCACAGAAGACTGTCCCTTGAAGCTGTAACTTCAGTCAGGCCTCAGGATGTGAACACGATTTTGATTTCTCATGTCACCTGCTAGGGGTCAGGAGATGAGACTGTCAGTAATGAGCAGTCTCTTATGGCTGTTCCCTGAAATGTGGATCAAATGGGACAACTTCAAAGGAGTTGGAGTTAGGCAGTGACTGCTACATAGGAAGTAGATTTTTTTAAGGTGGTTCTTCCAGTTGGTAATAAAAATCAATTGACCAATCAATCACTGAATCTGACTCAAAACTGAATCTCAATTCACTGCAACTTTGGCAAGTTACTTGCCTCCTCTGAGCCTTGTCTAAAATAAGGATAGTAATGGATAGTGACTACCACATACAAGAGTTACAAGGGATCGGAGAGACAATGCACAGAACCCATCCACCAATGTTTCTGACACATGGGAGATGCTCCAACAATGAAAGCTATAAGACAAATAATAAGTGTATAAATCCTTTATCCTCATTATTTCCTACTTTATGTTTACAGTTTATGGGTTTTCCTTCTTTTAAATCAGTTTTGATATGTAATGCAATCTTCTTTTATTTGTCTAAAAATATTGAGGGAGAACCCCCAAACCCAATTTCCTCTAGGCTCCCACCGTAGTCTTGGCCATCACCGTACTTCACCTGAAATATTCAGAGGGTAATCTTAATATATTATGCCTAATAATCTATATATTTCTCCACTAATGCCAAGTTCTAAATTATCTCAGGGCTCAGCTCACAGTCTTAACCAGTTTTAGGGATTAATCTACCCTGATACAAATTTTATATCTGTGGGAAGGACATATTATTTTAAAAAATAAGTTTGAAAGGCTATATATCAAAACATATTTAATATATTTATCTCTAGGGATGGTAAGGGGCTGATTTTATAATATGTGAATGCCTGTATGATCCAAATTTCCTATAGTAGCCATATGTGACCCATACAGTTGGGGAAAAAGTGTGCTAAAGATAAAAAAAGAGAAAAATTTTTAAAAGAGTCATGAATCAACAGTTGATCTCCAGGCCCCTGGCTCTGTACCAAGTGCATAACAACTACTGACAAATCCTCGTTGAGGGACAGACAGCACTCCTCCAATTCAGCCTGCTGACTCAGCCTGTGACTCAGCCGTTCTGTGTGTGTCAACTGCTCTAGTGTAACAGAGACATCAGGTGAGGGACATGGCTGTCCTCAGCTTCGTCACAGAACGCAGGCCTGACGCCCACTGAGGGGTATCATGGGGTACCCTCCCTACAGGGGAGTGGGCAACCCACACAGGTCCAACACTGCCTACCTCCTCCCACACTCAACAATGTGCATCAAAAACTAACATCTGGATAAGTTCCTTTAGAGACAGCAGAGTCACCCAATTAAATAGTACACTGATGTTCCATCTTATTCTAAAAAGATCCATAGTGTCTCACTGAGCGGTCATTGCACTAGACAACAGGTGAATAAGAAGCAGGAAACTTCCAGTTACATGGCTTCTTCCTAATCAGAGGGAACTTTACTGACTGCTTTCCATGTTCTCAAGAGTCAAGTTAAACTCATCATCTCTCTGCAGAGCACCTGTCATGTGCAAGATTCTGTGTTTGGGAGAGTAGACACAAGGCCAACAAGTTTCCACCTCTTCCCTAAGGGAGGCTTACAGTCAAAATCACAAACATGCCCATGAATAAAGAATAACAAGCAATAAGACTGGAAACCACCAGAAAGGGCATCATCTACCACTGTGGGGGAAGAAATATTGAGATCACAGGATTTGGAACTGGAGCAAAGTCAATATACAGCATAAGGGTTTTATATTTAATAATATATTAAATTAAATATAATAAATGTATTCTAAAATCTTGATGCATAGAAAGTTCAAATGCCTGGGGTTCTTCCCACTTTCTAATCGATGAATTCCAGGTAAAACAGTAATTGTGGGTAGATATTTTTAAAGTAACTGCACTATTTACGATGTTGTAGTGATCTCTCCAGCTTAATAAATTTGCAACCGCACTGGATTCCACTGTCTAGGTGTACCATATCCACTTAACCAATCACCTTTCCATGAAGATTGAGGTTGTTTCCAATGTGTTTCCATTATATCCAGTACTTCAAAGATCATCTTTGAAAATACTGTTTTACACTTGCTCAACTACTTCCTAAGGCTCAATTCCTACAAATGACACTGCTGGGTCAAAAATAATACATATTGCCACACTACCCTCAGAAAATTGCCACCAATTTATCTCACCAACAGTGCATGAAAGTCCCTATTTCCTATGCTCTCACAATACTAAGTATTGCAAATTTTTTTTATTCTTTGCAAATAACACAGCCAATATGTTAAATTGTTTTTGATTTGCATTTTCTTTTGATATTGAATGTTTTCATAGGTTTATTTCCCATTTTTTAAAAGCAGATATAGCATGCCATTTTGATAACCTCATCAGCCTATATCCATATGGACATATCTATGTCTCTCCATTTGTACATACATAAAGATGTGAGAGAGTATGTTCATTGACTGTTGACAGTTCCCTATATCTGGGTGGGTGAATTTGGGGTGGTTTTTTAATTTTTTCTTTCTTTTTTTATAAAGTAAAGTTGTGATTTTTTTAAAAGTACAAATCTTTCTGTAAGTAGTTTTTTATACATAGGAAAGAATAAAGCTATTTTCACTTTTCAAAAACTTTAAATTCCAGGATATGTTTTACGCTTAGGACATGTTTTGTGCAAGTGTTTATGATCCCAACAATGCTAAATCAGGTAAAAATCCTGATATTGTTAGTGGAAATCACCAGGACAGAAAATAACATTAGTAGGCTTTCATTTATTCTTCAAGTCCAAACTTAAAAATCCCCACCACATCACAGTCTGGTTTTACCTATTTTGGCTTTTTTTCAGGGGCATGTCCCTGTGCCAGGCCTTTACAAAGACAAAAGGGCCAGCCCTGCTCTTAACATGCTTATGGTCATTCAGGATTTCCCCAATGGGAAATTCCAGGATCCTGAGGACAGCATGGAAGGGATGCTGACAAAAACAGCAAATGAATTTTGAAGGCTCATTATGTGCAGACCCATCCTATTCTAAATCATTACCATTAACCATTGCTCTCTGAGATAGGTTCCAGTATCATCTCAATTTTCCTGAAAAAAAGAAAAAAAAAGAAAGAAACTAAAGCACAAAGAGCCTCAGTAAACTCACCCAAGGGTGCATGGCTAGTAAACAGAGAAACCTCATTGAAAACCAATCACTAGGGATCCCTGGGTGGCACAGCGGTTTGGCGTCTGCCTTTGGCCCAGGGCGCTATACTGGAGACCCGGGATCGAGTCCCACGTCCGGCTCCCGGTGCATGGAGCCTGCTTCTGCCTCTGCCTATGTCTCTGCCTCTCTCTCTCTCTCTGTGTGTGACTATCGTAAATTAAAAAAAAAAAAAAGAAAGAAAGAAAAGAAAACCAATCACTAATAAGTCTACTCTGTTTTGGTCTTATCTTTTTAGCAGACACCGAATGAGGAATGTTTGTTCCTGGAAAGGCTGGAGGAAAACCATTACAACACCTACACATCCAAGAAGCACGCGGAAAAAAATTGGTTTGTTGGTCTCAAGAAGAATGGAAGCTGCAAACGCGGTCCTCGGACTCACTATGGCCAAAAAGCAATTTTGTTTCTCCCCCTGCCAGTGTCCTCTGATTAAAGAAATCTCTTCTGGGTGCCGACCACTCCAGAGGAGGCTGAGCGGTCCTCACCCAGTTGACCCCAGATTATTCCCTTGACCAATGGCTGCACTAACCCCTGGCCCACAGAGCCTGAATATGTAAGCAACGCGCTTCTAAATGCCCAGTTCACTCTTCTGCAGAGCCCTTTACCCCAGCACAGTTTGGAACAGAGGGATCAAATTGCTTCTAGGGGCCAACTGGCTGGTCAGTCTGGGTGTGTGGATGTTCAGTTGCCTACAGGCACCTGCTGTAGGCTCAGCCTCTCAATGCAAAGGTGTGGCCAAATGAAATGTGTTCAGGGGGCTGCCACGTGGGTCGTTAGTAACTGCATACAATTCCTTCTACTGAGTAAACTCTGATTTCCCCCAAACATCTGGCATGAAGCCCTCTCGTCCTTTCAATACCCCCACGTATATTAGCAGAGAAGCTTATGGCTAGGTTAGGGGAAGGTTGTGTTCCATGAGTAGAAACTGGGATGAAGAAATCCACCCCCTCTCCAAGAACAGAAGAGACCAAAATGGCAAGGGGAGATTGGGTTCTGGTGGTCAGCTTAGAAGGATGGGTTTTCCATGCAGAATAAACAAAGGATGGGAATCCTAGCCTCAGGAAAGCAGAATAAATGCCTAGCTTTGGAAGTCCTTACCATGTCTTGAATTTCCCAAAATTATTCGGCAGCAGGAAGCTTCAGGAAGATGTCAGATGGACAGCATGGGAAGTGTTCTCTTGATAAAAGCAAAAACATCAGATGCTGGTAAATTCATTTGAATCTGGGGTGTGGGAGTGCTGAGAAAGAAAGGAAACATGGGCTGAGGGGATGCTTTCTTCGAAAGAGGTAGATCCCAGAAGTGAGGAGGAAAGAGAAAGGGACACAACTTGTGGCGGGTCCCCAGAAAACAGAGGCTCTAGAGTCCCACCCAGGTGGTGCTTACAAATCACAAGCAGATTGGGTTTGAGTGTAGATGCCAGTTTGGTGGGTCTAGGGTGCAATTTGTGTATTTCTACATGCTGAGGGGAGGGAGGCTGAGGGGCTGGTGCCCTCCCCTCTCCATGCTTTAAGTAGCAAAGTCCTGAAGAATGCTGTTCCAGGGAAGGTGGCTCAAGCCCCTGATCCTCTCTCACCTCACCCTTAAAAATGTACACACCATTCGTCTTCATGAGCATCCAGGGAGCATCAGCAGCAATGACGCTGAGGTGAAGGAACATGGTTTTAAGGCACTTTGGCCCAGTGCCTCTAAAATACCCATTCAGAAGATATACAAAAGCATACTTCAAAAATGTTAAACCCTCACAAACAGCTTTTCTCAAGAGGCCATTTGTGTTAGGATTACTTGTATAAATATGCTTCCTGCTTAAAGTAAACTTGACCCAAGTGGCTAGCAAATGAGAAACACCATTCATCTCTAACCTATGATACTATTGCCATATAAAGGCCTTTAATAAGCCATTTACATCTATGGTGAGACTGTATGTTTTAATTGCATTGAAAAATATGTAGCTTAAAGGCAGTTAACTGATTAGCATTCAGCCACTGAGAATAATAATAGGATATGATGTATAAGCTCTTCAATTATCCACTACTTACACTACATTTACCTATACAAAGATTGTACTTCATTTTCCATTGTGCTATTACAGATTTTCCTTTGAATGTAGGGACTCTTAAGCAAAGATATGATAACTATGGATAAAAACTGTTGAGAATATTAGCTCATGTTATAAGGAACTGACATTGCTAATGGAAAAATAATTCCTTACTAACTGAATTGTCATGTTTATGATGGAAGAAAAAATTTGTGAAAGTTCAAGGCAACAGTATAATTGAGGAACTGAACTAAGTTAATGCTATGGTTAATAATATCATTCTGCATTTGTACAGAAAAACGATTTCAGAACTTTTTTTTTTGTGGTTGGATAAGATAATTCTATTTTATTTTAGTAAATCCTTATAGGCAAGTTGGGGATAGTGCCGTGCAGTTTAACATCTCTTTACTCTGAAGATTTGGCCAGAAAAGGGTACCCAGAGAGGAAATCTAAGATATGTATAATGGTCCATAATTTTTAGTGTATGAATCAAATTCAAATATAACACTGGCCAAGAAAAAATTAAATGTTGCTAACAGATGAGACGGAAGTCGGTGGTTTCAGAGACTCAACGCAGTTAGAAGAAATGCTATTGTGGCCTCCACAACCTCTGCCCAGTCATTATTCATGCCTTCATTCATTCGGTGAATATTTATTCAGTGCCTACTGTGAGCTGGGCACTGTCCTGGGTACTGGGGCCCCTGGAAACCTTGTCTGTCTGGTTTGCTGCTGTATTCTCTCCCAGGGCATTATATTTATGATGAAAAAAGCTGTGGATTCATTTATTTCAGTTAAATAAATACAGAGACTGTAGGTTGCTGCTAAATGAACAGCAAGTCCCAGAAACCCAGGTTCTGGAAGAATTAGTGATACCCAGTGTAAGATAAACCCCGATCAAAGTGTCAGAGGACATGGCAATGGAAACCTAATATTTTCTACCTTGGAACCATGTCAGCTTCAGGGGGACCACTTTCAGATTGGGAAAAGAGTCTGCTGGATCTCGTAAGAAGGGAGTAGTTGGCAGATGCCCCTCCATTCTGAACATGCTCTAGTTCTCTAAACATAGAGCATTCCTGTTGCGTTCTCTCTTCCCTGAGTAAGCCATGTAGCCATCTGCTTGTCACACGCCTCTCATTTGGATTCATTTTTGGGCCAACTGTTAAGAATTGCCTGACATTCTGTACAAAGCACCAGGCACATTTATGCTTTTGATTGTTTTCAATGTGGAGATGGAGGTGGTAGTGATCTGTTTCCTTGGAAGGGATGACAATCAGAGCCTCCTCTAGCCAACAGTGTGTACTTATCAAAAACTGACTAGAGCATCAAGCATTACTGAAGATCAAGGTCCTTGCTTTGCGTCAGAGGTGACGGAGCCCAACTCCTCAGCCTCATGGAACATACTGCCTAAACCCATTGAGTCCACAGGCTGCGAAGCTGACCTCTGATGAAGAAGACATTTGTCATTTTACATCTCTCTCTCTCTCTCTCTCTCTCTCGGCACCTGACAAGTATTAATAAATGTTCCACTAAAAGGTGATAATGTGTCTCTGAGTTTCAGAACATCACAGGTCTCATCTTCCTACAGAAGTTCTTCCCCTGGTACCTGTCAGCTATTGCTTTGTCTTCTAGACATAACTTGTCACCGGATAGGAGACCTTACAGGCTGACAGGAAAAGCAAAGGTAGAAACATATTTCATTTTGTTTGGAAACCTAAGGCAATATTAGTGTTTTTCTAGGTATCCATCAGAGAACTATATTCAGGGGATTTGCCCCCTGATAGAGCCAAGTACCATAACTAACTCAATTGACACTTTTTCTACATAGTATAAATTATGAAAATGTATGCTACTATTGTACAGTTGACCAGCTTGTGCTTAGGCAAACATACTGTGACTGGAAAAAAAAATTAAAGACTTACAACTTAAGTCAATGGCAAAAGGCACATCTCTTGCATCTCAAGTGCTTTAATGAAGGGTAACAGGTTTGCCCATCAGATTTTCTGGAATCAAAAAAAAAAAGATTTTCTGAAATCATTATCATACTAAGCAATATATCCTTAAATAAACTTATCAATCTTAGGACTCCTTTTTAAATTATTTTATTTATTTATTTGAGAGAGAGACAGAACACGAACAGGGGGAAGTGCAGAGGGAGAACGAGCGAAACAAGCAGAATCCCTGCTGAGCAGGGAGCCTGACAAGGGGGCTCGATCCCAGGACCCCAAGATCATGACCTGAGCTGAAGTCAGATGCTTAACCGACTGCCACCCCGGTGCCCCTCAATCTTAGGCTTCTTATTCTTAGGAGAAAGCATACTGTTGCTTAGACCTCACAGCAGAATCAGATCACACACACAAACACTCACATGTATACACACACACTTACACAGGTGCTCACACACATACAGTCCACAAGCACATGTACCTATTAATAACGGTTAGGCAGTGTTTGTCCACTCAATCAATTGCCTGCCACAATCATTGCTCCTTTTCCTTTTAAAGTCACCTAAACTCAATACTTTCCTACTTTTTAGAGCTTGATTCACAGTAAGAACATTTCCCATCACAACCTAGCACATACACCCTTTTGTATACATACATGTCAGGAAACTATACATATGAGATGCATTTTTTCCATTACTTTCCACTAAAAAATGCTGGTCAAAGATCCATTAAATTGGGTCACAACATTAATGGGTTACAACCACAGTTTTTTTAAAAACACTGGCTCAAAGAACTGGTGTTCTTCCCGAAGATGACGAGACCCAATTAGGATCCTGTATTATGACTTTAGTGTTTTCAAAGACACTGTTTGTTCAAAGACAAGGGGACATCCTGTTACCCAGGAACCATCTGTTCTGAGGGCTTGGTGGATTCTTTTAGTTGGTTTGCTACTAATCATACAAAATGAATGTACTGATGCAGATCCCACAGGCACCCACTGCTGCCTGCAATGCCTCCAATGCTTTTAGCAGATTTCTGCTGGCAGAGCCCTGAGGACTTGGGCCCCCTCCCCTCCTTTGGAATTCTCATCACTGTGGGGCTTGTGGGCATTCCTTCCCTAACTTGCACAGTCTTCACTTCATTCCTTCCTCTTACTCCTCTGTCCCCACATTCTTAATTCATAACCATTTCTAAACAAGACATGAAAAGGAAACTGAGCCAAGAAAAGGCTAGACACCCAGAATTTCTGAGCATCCTTCCCAGCCCCCATCACTTTCTGACAATTATTCTCTTACCTACCTAACAGAAGAGTTTACCATCCATAACTGAGTGACAAGATAAACACCATTGCTACTAGAATGCATCTTATATAGGGATTTGAAAATTTTCATCTTTGTTGAACAACTAAAAAAAGTAACTCAATGACCTAAATGTTTGAGAGGGCTGGCTGAGAATTGGCCTCTTATGGGTGAACTTGACAGCAAAACAGAAAAATTCTAACTGAAGTTGCTGCCTTCCATATTTATCTGAGTGATGTCCCAGCTGCCATGGGGTGCGCAAGGGAGGGAAATCCTAGCCCTAAGAACCCTTGGGTCACAGTTATATGAAGGAGTATGATAATAGTGACATGTCAACAAAGATGTGCCTTCAACTGCCCTTGCACAGATTAACAAAAATTATCTGTAGAAGCAGTAGTGCAACATACAAACACTCAAGCCTGACCTAGCAGTGGAACTTGTAACTTCTCCATTTCAAAATCACTAGGCATTTGTTGGGCAACTGTTAAAATTCAAATAATGGCTCATGAAAATTAGTGCACTCCCTTCTTCCTACTCCACTCCTTAAGCCTGCCCTCTACCCCCAGAAAGAAACTCCCTTGCTATTATACATAAAATTTACTCTAAAACCCAGTCAGAGAATTCAGAGCCTGAGATGTGGGGATCTGACACAGGACACTTGGGACCCCCCAGTGATTCATCTGACATTCTCTCAAGTTACAAGGAAATGTACTAAATGACTATTGGGATCTTTCTGTAACACTGTACCCACTCTGTGGTTGACATATTGACCATGACATACTACACTGTTAGCTTTCCACCCTAGTTATAAAATTAAAAA